GGGGAGGGCGCAGGGGGCCGGGGGCGTGGGGGTGCGGGGGCAGGGACACCGGCTTCACCACCAACAGGCCACGCTCTTTCTCTTGGCAGGAACCTCCGCCGGGACTCGCCGGAAGAGTGGCCCCTCTCCCACCTGGCCCGCAGTTTCGACGTGAGCCCCAACGTCATCGCCAGGGTGTTGCACAGCCGTTTCTCGCCTTCCCCGGAGTGGGCGCTGAAGCAAGAGAGCCGCCTGGCAACGCTGCAGAGCGGCGGCAGCGGCTCTTCGGCCCCAGAAGCCCCCATCCAGTTGCTGCTGCCTCCGCCACCACCCGAGGACCCAGGCGCTTGCCCCGGGCCTGGAGATGGCGCCGAGGAAGAAAAGAGCCGGCCACGGCGCCCCTCCGCCCGCAAGCAGCCACCCACAGGGGCGCTGTGCGAAGCCGGCCAACCAGGATCAGGAGGAGCCCTTGCTGCGAGTCGTGCATAAGGGCCAGGACTTCGTGGATGGGGATGGAAACTTCCTGTACAGGATCCCGGCCTAGGAGCAGAGATGGGGAGAGCGGCCCCTGCGGCGGGTCGGGGTCAAACCAGGACTCCTTTTGCAGTGGCTGCGGGTTCCTTCGACCTTCCCCTCCCTCCTTCCCTGCCATGTGCCGCTTGCTCTCCCTTCCCTGGCCGGAGGCCCTGGTGGGTGGGTGCCCTTTGGCTTGGGATTTCCAGGCTCCTTTCTGGTCCCAGGGTGGGTGGGGGTAAACCCACACTGTCTCAGATCTGTGGCTCAGTTTCCCTGCCCTGTGGGGTTCGTGTTGCCCTGTCCCAGAAGGCAAGAGGTGGGTGCGGAAGGCGCTTGCATAAGGTGTGTGTGGGGGGTTGAAAACAGGAAATACAATCCATTCCTATCAGCATTTGTAGAACTTGGGCCATTTGGGGACCTTCCCCCTGAGTGGAGGTGCCTGCTACTGCTTATTGGAAGGGACCTTTAAAGGATTTTAGGGCAGACATCTGCAATCCTCTTTTGGGGAGTGTGGCTTGGATCCAGGACCAGAAATGTAGGTGGAGCCCAGAGCAAAAAGCCCCCTCCCTTGGTGGGGGGGGCATTGTTATACCAAGCCTCAGTTCATTCCTACAGCCCAGTGGATGCTAAATTGTACATGTGAGCTTCCCCCACCCGCCCCTCAATAGTAACGAGCTTGTATTTCTACCTCGGCAAGAACCAGTGGATATGCACAGGCTGGACTTTCAGAATAATGTAGGTTCCTTAGACATCAGCCCTCCCCTCACAGCTGTGTCTGACTCCTCTGAAAAGCCCTCCCCTTTCGGGGCAGCCAGCCGTGAAGCAGTAAGGATCAACATAGCTGGTTGTAAGTTCAGAAATAAAGAACTTGACTTGAAGAGCCTCCCGTTAATTAAAGAAGTTATAAACGCATCTAGTGCAAGACATCCAAGTTTCACTCAGAATTACATGAGGCCTCAGGACTTCAGTGGGTATTTGCCTCAAGAGACATTCAGCTGTCATTATATTTCCCCCCCCCTCCCTTCAGAACAGTGATTGCTTCTAAGCTGTACACTTCACATCTGTTGTGCTGGGCGCTTCCCGGCCCCTGCCTCAGATCACTGACTGCCAGCCGAGGAGGTGGGGAAACGCCCACGGATATCACCTATGGCCGTCTCTCTCTCTCTCTCTCTGCTTGCCACACAGGCACGTGTAGAGCTGACTGTGTACCACTGCGTGCCTCCTCCTTCCACTTGCTGGGGCTTTCTCAGCCTGCAACCTGGACCCAGAAATCATTCCAGCAAAGAAACCAGAGGTCTGAAGGACTCTGGAGAACACACTGAGGTTTCTGCATTTACGTTAACAATAATTCATTAAAATTGTTGCTGGGGTGGTGGTATTTTTTAAATTAAACAATCCATAGCTTGCTAAAGTTTGGCCATAGGAATGAATTAGGACTTCATATAATGATGCTCCCTGAATGTAGAGCGTGAGAAAGAGGATTTTGGATCTGCACGAAGGCTGGCCAGATGTGTCTAGGAAGCCCACGCACAGGTGAGGGAGACGACAAGCTTCCCCTGATGTTGCCTTTCACCAGCTGGACCGTAGTGCCCCTGAATGTGGAGGTTCCATTTGGCTGTCAAGAGCTTGTAGCTGTTGCTGCCACGGAAGGCTGCTAAAATGGCCAAAGACAGGGCCTTGTTTACACTCCGAGGAATCCAGGAGTGCCTACTGACCATGTCCTGAGCATCTGTGAACAAGTATTCTGAGGAAGGCTCTTGGTCCACTCCTGAGTGACACCACCATATCAAAATAAAGATGGCAAATGTAGGGATCGGGGAGTAAAAGCCTGCCTTCTCGGGAACAGGAATCTTCCGCAATTCTCCCACTGCTGTCTAAGCCATATAGGGAGAGGTCAGCAGTTTTCTCCATTTCTTTGTGGAGCGCTACTGTAAATAATTCCTTAACATTGCTCATTCTGAAAAATGAGCTGTGCACTTGTGGAGATCAGATTATACAGATTCTAAATAAACAGTTTTATTTGTCTTACAATTTGGCTTTGATCCAAGAAGAATGTGGGCGGGGCCAGCTGATTGGAGTGAGTGTGGGTGGTGTCTGATGCCCTGTCGACAGGGCTGAGCCCCACGCGGCCCCTGCAGCCGCTCTGCACATGAGGAGTGAATCCAGACCACGCTGGTGCCTCTCCACAGCACCCCTGGAAGACCCATACTGAGCACAGCGCCTACAGCTGTCTACTCATCAGGACCTGTGAGACTCTCACAGAATATTATCTTCTCTTTCTGTTATATTATCTTCTCTTTCTGTTATTTCAGAAAAGCATTGCACTGGAGTTACAAATCGTGTCATCTATACAATGTCCTTAAGTGCTTGGGAAGTCGAACAGTGAAATTAGGAAGATTATACATGTATCACACTAGTAAGACAATGCATACATTTTGGTGAACCTTACATACACCCCAGTACCAGAGCCAGAATTTCTTTTTTGTAACAATTTTATTTTCCGTACAAGACGAACGAACACAATAAACATGCATACATACAATAAAAGGGGAGCTCTCAGGCTGGCTACAGAAAGCCACCTTTTAGTCACTTCCAACCATGTAGGCCCAAAACCGGGAGAAGGGCGGGGGGGGGGGGGGGGGGCACAGCAGCAGCGACTCTGGAGCCTTCAGAATCCCCCAGCTGGCTGCACTGGGCATGGAAAGGTGCCAAGAGAGCCCTGGGTGCCTGCCCAGGTCGTCCTTTGTGTTCCTGCCTCCCTCCCCTTTTCTCTCACATCTGTTTAGCCCCCCCAGCCCAGACTCCAGATGGGGTTTCTGTGGACTTCCCTGTGGGGGAGGGGGGATCACCCCTATTTACTTTTTTTTTTTTGCAAACCTAGGAGACTATTTTGTCCACTCGTGGACTGCCCTTGGCTGTTAGATCGGAGGATAATAGTAGGTGTGGGCGATTACACAATGACCTGAAAGTTTTCTTTGTTCAGAAACTGAAATCTCTCATCATCTCCCCCCACCAATGTTTTCTTTACTTGCATCTTTAGTTTTAAAATAGGTGTCAGGCAGGGGAGAGATGGAAAATCCCCCCTCCCCCTTCTGCCAGTATGGTTTTGGAGGGGAGCCGTATTGATTTGAGTCCAGGAGCACTGGAGAGGTCAGCCAGATTTCCAGGGGAGGAGCTCCCGCCCTGACCGGGGCAGCCCAGGCAAGGCCGATTTCCTCCGGAGACTAAGCAGGGCTGACTCTGGCAAGTGCTTGGATGGGAGGCCTTCCTGTAATACGGGAGGTGGGGGGGCAGGCTTTGTTCAGCCCCCTCTCTGAATATCCTCCAGGCCCTGGTAGGGGTCAGCCACCAGAGGCCGCCACGGCTTCCAGGTGGGCACAGGGAACTTGAGAACAGGATACAGGCCAAGGGCGCCCAAGGGGACAGCTGAGCTGGCCGAGAGGATGCCAGGGGAGTGGGGGCCTCTAGGCACCGGGTACCAGGCACTGTTCCCTCTAAGCTGACTTGGTGTGAGCTAGCTCATGGTTTTTTAGCCTCCGGCTCAGACATTTTGTCTCAGCTCAGGCAGGAGGGCTCCAGAGCAAACCAATGTATGCAGGAGCCAGATCGCTCACTCACAACTTGAATGCCAGCAGCTCAGAAAGCAGAATTTTTTAGTACACTCGACAATTTGTCCATTTCGGCAACTAAAAAATTCTGCTTTCTGAGCTGCTGGCATTAAAGTTTAAAAAAAGGAAAAAAAGAAAGCAGAATTTTGGCTCACAAGACTCCACAGCTTAGACGGAGCATTGGTACCGGGGCTGGCTTTATCCAACGACAGTCTGGGCTAGCAGTGCAAGTGCCGGTTCCTGCCCCCCCCCCCAACTTGGAGGGCGAGATCCGCT